AAAAAAAGAAAGAAAAAAAGAAAAAAAAAAAAAAAAAAAAAAAAGAGAGAGAGAAAGAAAGAAAGAAAGAAAGAAACTTTCTTTCAGGATTGGACTCCCAAAGGGGATGTAACTGAATTGAGAAAGAGAGAAAGAGAGAAAGAGAGAAAGAGAGAAAGAGAGAAAGAGAGAAAGAGAGAAAGAGAGAAAGAGAGAAAGAGAGAAAGAGAGAAAGAGAGAAAGAGAGAAAGAGAGAAAGAGAGAAAGAGAGAAAGAGAGAAAGAGAGAAAGAGAGAAAGAGAGAAAGAGAGAAAGAGAGAAAGAGAGAAAGAAAGAAAGAAAGAAAGAAACAAACAAACAAACAAACTTTCTTTCAGAATTGGACTCCCAAAGGGGATGCCTAACTGAATTCACATTCCCTCACAGATGTTTATTGAATCTATGTAATGCCAGGTGAGAGTTAATCTTAGGAACAATATTTACAAAATCAGCTCCTAAACTAGGCAGGAAGAAATACTGAGGCCCTCTGGCTTCGCCTCTTTGAGACGTGAGACATACGACTTAATTGGAGAGATTTGCCTAGGAGCCTCCTGGAATCGGAAACCTAGGTTCAGCGCTTTGTCACACAAAATGTAGTAAGGAAAGAGATTATGATGGAAGTGGAAAAAATGATTTTGCATAAATAAATCATCAGTGAGACATCCAAAGAAATGAAGAGTGAAGTTCAAATCCTAATCAAGTGAAAATAATGTAGAATACATATTAATTTGTAGGTACTATATACTTATATGTACATCCTTAAGTACCAGCTACCCCTACGCTCCTATTCTCCACAAGAGCCCAGCACTGGGAAAGAACATTTCCCGCTATCCTCTAGAGCTCTAAGGCTGAAGTATTTTTTAAGGTCCAAACACATCCGCCAGAAACAGTGATCACACTCACGACTCGTGGGTCTCAAATTATTACTGGAAACACGTAGGAAAAAAGTTGCACTGTGTTTTCAGGAATTGTACAGAAACTCTTGGATAATTTGTCAGAAAAATTACATAAATTAACCTGATTTTTTGAAGTTACTTGTTTTTAGCTGAACACAGTATTTCCTTGATCAGGTCTTACCTGAGCAAGTCTTCTTATCTGGATTCAGAGTGTATCCTTCAAAGCAGTCACAGCTGTAGGATCCATCATTACTCAAACAGACTTGTGCACAATCATGCCCTCCAGGTGCACACATGTCCATGGCTGTGGTGAACCATGTTTTAGAGAAGAAAGCTATTAATCCCTCCCAGACACTCAAGCGTTTTAAATGCTTCAGCGTTTATAAGTACAATTTAATTAGGATTCAAATTAGGATTCAACCAGTGCCTTACTACATTATTATATTATGCTGCAGACAACTGAATTCAGTACTAATTATTTAATGCAGGAGGCAGATACCTGGACTGCAAGACATTACTCTACCACCTCTCACGCAATCTGATTTTCATCAGCAATTCTAACAGCCTTGATGAAGCTAAAACACCGTACTGAGATGAGCAATAACCTGCCACGTGACAAGGCAGAAGTTGTTTCTTGCAATATTAGCAGTAACTATGGTGAATCCAAATTTAACTTTATATTTTCATCCATGAGCTGAAGGCAGGCACAAAAAGCCAGGCATGATATGTAGAAATGCTATTAAATGGCAAAGAGATATAAAGCCTAGTGAGAACAAAAGCAAACAAACAAACAAAAAAGCAGGAGCACTAGAAGATTATGTTCTCTCTTCAGAAATAAGAGTAGTGAAAACTTCAGTGAGAAGATGCTTATGTGCTCTCAAAGGGAGGGATGCACTTACCAGTTATAGCTAGCCTACGGCTGGTGCTGCTCAAAACTTCTGGATTTAAAGAAACAACTCCAGAGAAATATTTGGGGGAAAAAAGTTTTTATAATAGGCTAACTTTTCAGAGTGACAATTCAAGAAGCTGCTGCTGGTGTAAGACTGGGGTTGCTATATCGCAGAGCCCTGCACAGCTTGGAAGCAGAAGCAGCAAGCTGTAAAAAAAATGAGTTTCAACAGGAGAGATGGAGAGGACAGGGGAAAATCATCAGGTTTTAAGTTCTCTATGGAGTCGTGGCACTCACTCTCCAATGGAGACACAGTGCTGGTGGGCATCTCTGGAATAGGTTCATCCTCTCCCAGGGACTAAGTGATGCTTATGAAGCATCACTGTGAAGACCATAAAATGGTAGGTAAGTGCCAAATTGCATTTCTGTAATCGACACATTTAAAGAAAAATGCAATTTTACTGTTACTGGAACCAAGGGGAAAGTGTGCAGGTGAATTCTCATTTTAAGAGTTGATGTCTGTAAGCAATTTTTCAATTAGAAACAATGAAGGTAACTCTCAGAAAACATGTCCACGTCTCCATGAGTTTCATATATTAATGTGGCCTTTAACTCTTACCTGAGCAAGTCTTCTTATCCGGATTCAGGGTGTAGCCTTCATAGCATTCACAGACATAGGATCCATTGTTACTCATACAGATCTGATCACACTCGTGCCTTCCAGGTGCACACATGTCCACAGCTGCAAGACACACATTGGAGAAACAATTCATTGTTAATAAAAAGTAGTTTGGGGTGGAGAGCATATTCACATTTTCAAATATATTTCTATTTGGAATCAGCTCAAAAATGGCAAGACTAATTGAAGGAATTAGAATATGTGGTAAGAGAAAATATCTATACGGTGTCTACATCTGAAGACTTTGTTTTGGCATCTGGCCCTAATGAATGGTTCCGTAGGCATAATAAAAAGGATGGTGATGGAATCAAACTACTTCTCACCATTACTTGCAGTAGACTTATTTATTTATTCTTTATTATTAAATTTATTATTATTGAAGGAGATACAGATGTTCACTGTTTCAACAGAAGTACACAAGTAGCTTCTCAAATCCAATTATGGTTTTAAAAAGTGATTTTTTTTCTAGTTGAACACATTTACCGAAGGAGTAATACCTGAGCAGGTTCTCTTATCCGGATTGAGAGTGTAGCCTTCATAGCAATCACAAAGGTAGGATCTGCCGTTACTCACGCAGACCTGCTCGCAGTCATGGGTCCCAAGTGCACACACATTCGCAGCTACAAAGGACATTTACAGAAAAGGCGTTTCAGTCATCCCAAAGGAGAGAAACATTCATTAATAATTTGTGCTTACAAAAGTACATCTTGAAGTGTTTGCTGGATTAGTAGTAGTAAATGTCAGTGCTGTGTCACCGTCACAAAAGTTACAGGCATCTTTTGCATCATTCTGTAGCCAGAAGAAGAGATCGCAAACAACACTGGAACAACTGCACTGAAATAACTCACCACCTGAGGTGGCAGAAAGATAAGATTAATCTGAAAAGGGTACAACAGGGAGAGAGAGATTTTAAGCGTTTAGTAACATTACACTAGAAATGAGAACTCAGCAATGAAAAGGACCTTCTGGCTTATTGCATCCAGTCCCTTTCTATTACAGACAACCAGTTTAAATAATCCCAAAATATATCAGTCACCGTCTGGCAGCTTACTAACTTCTGCTCACTGGCATACAACCTGATTTATGAATTCCTGCTGCACTGTAAAAAACTCCCATGTAAACTGAAATGTGACGGAAAGCACAAAAAATAAAATAAAATAAAATAAAATAAAATAAAATAAAATAAACTGCAATAGAAAGAGCATCAAGACCAGGAGGAAAAGAAAAATGACTCAGAGGCACTAAGGTAACACACTGTCTTCTCAGGGATGAAGAGAGTGTCTGCGTAATGATGGTCCAGATGTATCAGCCAACAAAGAAACCCACTGGCGCAAGATGGGTATGGGAGGGCTGCAGCTGCCCTGTTCCATCAGGTTTAAAAAGTCAAGACCAAAAGAGGATATGGAGGAAAGTTTCTCCAGTAAGGTACCTTTACAGGCACGTGAATCTCCTAATTGAGGGACAGTGCAGAAATAATGTCCAAACCTCAGGGAACTGAGAAGCTGAAACTGCAAACTACAAAATGAGATTCAATTTTCAGGGACCAGCTAATTCCCCAGCAGACAGTAAGGCTGTCTCATCAGACTGAGAAAACAGAAAACAGTGATACGAAAAGCAGCGTGATGGATGGCAGCTGATATGTGTGTGTTGTGGTGACAGGACAGACAAAATGACTTGTAACGCTGGGCTGTCTCTGCAGTGCACTGTGTGTGCTGACAGTCTTTTCCTTCACAGCCGGTCTAAGTAACTAACTAATTAACTTCTGACGAATTTTTCTCAAGTGTATTTAGCTTTGGGTCTGCTGCTTCTTTGGTCACCTCAAGATGCCTCTGTTTCTCTCCACAGACTGTAAAGGAATCCTAGATACTCACTTAAGCTTAGATGATTTTTAGATTACTAAATTTAGATGAGATGAAAAAGGGAAGGGGAGAGGAAAGGGGGGAGGAAAAAAAAGGTGGCGGAAAAAAGTGGGAAGGGGAAAAAAAGGGGGAAAGGAAGGAAAGAAAGGAGGAGGAAATGAAAGGGAAAAGGAGAAAAATGGGAAGACAAGTCTGTTATTAACCTGAGATTTTACTTAGATCAGTAGTTATGATGTGGATATTGACTACTAGTAAAATCAAACTCCAAAGCAATAGTGGTGAGATAAGAAATGAGAAGCAAGAGTGCTTGAATCTTCTCATGTATTTCTGAATGCAAGACAACATTGCCCATTTTCTAAAACATGGAAGATTTAGATGTCCCCTAATAAGGCTGACAGAAAGCGCGTCTTGTATTTCCATTGGCAAAACCAAATCTCAAACCAAGGCAGTGTCTTTTCATTCTGCTACACCCTTGGGAGTAAGAGAATTCATCTCCATGACTTATGAACAAAATCTGTGGGTGATATTTTCAACCATAACTGAGAAGCTCAGACTCAAATAGTCAGATTTTTGTGGTAGGAAAGTCAAGCTTCCACTGACTGGGACACCAATTCAAGGTTAAGATTTTCCACCTACAGGATGGTCTCATGTTGAATGATGCTCTCAGTGCATCAAGAACTTGATCTCAGCCAAGTATTTTGCCCCTGAACATTAGTTTTCCTGTTTTCAGTTCACCCTACAAATTTATTTGGCTTGGTCAAAGCAAAGAAAAAATTGTCACTGGTGAGTCTAGATTTCTGACCAAAAAGCAGTCTGGAGCTGGAAAAGACCCAGTTTACCCACACTGTCTTACAAGACCCTCTTAGATTCATTCGGTTTGCAGGAACCTTTTGAAAAACTATTCCCTTTACCCCATTTTTGTCCATGAACCCCACAGATTCTGGCTAATTGCATGCAGGCAACTCAGAGTTACACTGGAAGTGTGTATGTGTGAGCTCTCTTTGGTTTATCCTCCAGCTTAGTAGGGGCGTAACTCCTATGCTTCAGCACAATAAACTGTACGTTTACTCTTAAGAACAAGAGATTTTTCTCCGGTGCTATGAAAGGACTTGCTTTGGCGAGAACATAGGTGGAAAATTAGTGCTGTGTTCACAGCACACATAGCTCTCCAGGTAGGTGGGCTCTGGTACCCACTTCCAGCTACCAGAGAGAAGATGTGGTCACATCAGCAGCACAACATGATGTCAAACCAAACCTCAAGGCATTTCCTATGTTAATTATTGGGCAAAGTGTCCTGTCTACAGATGGTCCTACACATTTATTTCATACCTAGAAAAAGAGGTCTGTTCACTCTAAACGTATTCAAAAGGTATGGTGGTAATTTTCAGTAAGGCTCTGAAATAACAAAGTAACACATTGCCAACCAAGTTCCCAAGGCAATGGCTGTTATTTTAATTCTCTTACAATGTTCTTTACACCTGATTTTACCCATTACTTGCTGGAGAATTATTTTACAAGTAATTTCCTTAGAAATTTACTAGAAAAATCTACTCCATACAAGTCTTTTAATTGTCAAAAAGTTGTCGTTTGATTTTTGTGGGTAGGGCTGTGGCATAGCTATCTATAGGCAGGTCTAAATAGTCCAGATACATGACCCTTTTTTTTCTGTGAAGGACAATAACAACCCACACTGGCCTAGCATCGTTAGTGGAGTTCTAGCCCAAACCAAATATACATCCAGCATTTTTCCAAGACCAGTCCTCAAAGAGCGAAGCAAATTCAACCCATCCAACTGGAGGTACAGACACAGCTCCCTGTCTAAATCAAGTTGCAGAGAAACAGAGAAAGGTGTGAGTCTGGCACACTGAAAAAGCCCAGCAATGCCTGCAGAGTGAAAGTCCATCCCGAGATGACCTGCCGTTGTGTTCGGGCACTTCATTCTGCACCAAATTTCTCAAGCTAGTGTGGCGGGTCACCTGCCCCACTGATTTTTCTACTCTGAATCTAAGGAGCCTTTCAGAACCACACTTCCACCCTCCTTGCTTCCCAACTGGATGGGAGAAGAAATGAGCGGACTGCACAGCTCTGGTGTGCGCTCTCAGTAAGTCAGTAAATATACATAGCCGAATCCCGGCCAGATTGCCGTGCTTTCTCTTGCACTAAATCAGACCAACTGCACAAGGAGGTCCACTGAAATCAGGTCTGTTACTTGCGTGGTAAGGTCACTATTCAAAATTCAAGGTCATTACTTGGCCTTCAGTGAATAAAAGGGTTGACTTGTTTTCCCAACAGACAGCAAAGGAAATACTTAAACGTGATACGTAACACTTCTCAAAAAGAGAAACTTCTTTCTTAGGGAGTGGAACCACAGCAGGAGCCAAAAGGAGCCAAATTACACTACCCTCTTGGACTGACCACCTTACCACAGAAAGTCTCTCTGAATTTGGATGTCAGCTTTTCAATCACACCATAGGTCTCCACATAAAAGACGTGTTCATCCAGTGGTTCGCTGGCCATTATCCTCAGGGACTGCATGTCTGCCCGGTCTACCCCAACTGCATAGATCTCAATGCCAGCTGTCCGGGCGCTTGCTGCCACATCTTGAACCTGGTCTTGTGGTCGTCCATCTGTCACAACAATGACCACCTTGGGGATATTGAAGGTTGCCGGCCGGGTGCCCATTTCCTCAGTGAAGACTTCATCCATGGCAGTTTGGATGGCTAGGCCGGTCATTGTGCCAGCCGACAAGGGCTCAATGTGAGATATAGCCTCCTTCATAGATGCTTTATCAAAGTAGGTCCGGAGGGGAAACTCTACCTTGACAGTGCTAGCATAATTCATGACTGCCACACGGGTTGTTCTTTCCCCAATGTCCAGAGTATCAATCATTTTTGACAAAAAGATTTTCACTTTCTCAAACTCTTCAGGTCGGACACTACGGGAACTGTCTATGATGAAGACGAGGTCTAGGGGCCGGTTCTTGCAGGCAGTGTCTGTCAAGAAGGAAGGAAAACAGTTGAGTCATCTCCTACACAGGACCAGAGCTCTCACCCTAGGGCAGTGAGAGCTGTCATGGCAAACTACTCCTACCAGATAAATGCTGGCACTCTCAATTCTCTAGGAAGAGGCTTAAAATTAGAGTGAGCAACACATTATTTTACATATATGTAATATATATATACAATAAAATAGAAATGTGTATATACATTAAATAAATAATATATATTTATATTATTATATAAATTCTTAAATGTTCACTTTGACAGGTAATAAATAACCGACCTTTTCTAAGCATTAAAAGATGGGTCCACATTTGAGCCCACAAAATGGCTAACTATCCTTGAAACAAAGGGTTGTAGTTTGCATGTAACAGCCAACATAGAAATGTAGCAATGATATATAAATGTACTTACTTTTTATTTTTATAAAGATAAAGCCTGAATTCCATTTTTACAAGCTACAGAAATAAAATGGTAAAACAACTGGCTAGATTACACGGTGAACAGATGCTAACAATATTTTTTAGGATAGTAACAATATAGATTGCTGATTAGGAATTATTTCTTGTTTGTAATTCACGATCCAAAGTACACAACAAGAAGAAATAAAGACCAACAGGAAAAAAGATGGAAATGATGCTGTGATAAAGGCTTCTTTAGAAGTTGTTACTGTGTAAAGGCTTCTAGAGCAGACAAAAAAATGGAACTTATTATTTATGAAGTAATTTTACATGTAAAAATGAACATTTACACAAATATTTCTAACTTCTAAAATTCCTCACTGACATATAAATGTAGACTGAAACAGAAAAGCCATAGCTCAGATCAGAGACAAGCATGACTTCTAGGAAGACGAAAAATAAGCAAGACAGCAACAGCAGGCAGCCTAAGCTGTACACTTTCCGTCCCGATACCCTGACCTGACGTTGACGATACCATGAACTTAGTTTGTACCATCAAGGTATGGATTTGTACTGCTGGTTTATGAAAAACAGACAACCCAAAAGCACAATATTTCTACAAAAGAGACATTCCTGATCAACAGTGCATTAAATAGCAAAATGTGAGGTGTTCAGTTTGAATATACTACCTGAAGAGCTTTTTTGGGAATGGGACACACCTTTCCTAGCTACTATCAGGTTGATTTTTATGATTCCATTCCAGTTTAAAAAAAAAACAACAACATTCTTCACAAGTCTCTTAAAAGTAGAGGTGAAAACAGCACTTTTTTTTTCAATGCATTAAAAAACTTTTTTCTCTTGTGCAAGTGAAAAGGGAGGGAAAAAATCAAATTGCACAGATATATCTTTCTTCCATCAGGAAACACAGCAGTAGAGTTGATTCTGCCTTTGGACAGAGTAACAGACTGAACGAATCTAGGATCCCGTCCAGGTATATCATATCTAATTCTACATGCATCCCGTAACTCAGTTTTTGCGTAAGGATTTAGAAGAATGGCTTTGTGCCCTTTGGAAAGCTGAGAAAACATGGAGAAATGTTTGTGCATGCATGCATAGCTTAAGACATGAAAGAAAAAGACACACAATGTTTGTCCTACAAAGAAAAGACCAAATCCCAGATTTGTAGGCAGAAGAATTATCTTTTTCAGATTAGGAAAGAAAAAACTTTTCAGCAGCCTGACCCTTCCGTGAGTCTGAAAGAGACGTTTTGAGAAGTGAACTCAGGTAGAGAACAGTCATGTAGGTTCTAAAGATTAGCAAGGCCAGCTTTGCATCAAAAAAATGTAGATGGTACTTCTGCCTGGAAGCGCATGGTCCGTGGACCGCTGCAGCTACAGCAAGATGTCCCCGGGGCACAACTCTCCCGTAATCGTTTGTAAAACTAAGCATCCTCAGAGAAGCAAGGGCAGGGGGTACCCCGAGCGGCTGGGTAGCAGCGAGCAAAGCGCGTAGCGAGCGAGCCGGGGAGCATCGCCTCTGGGCAGGGCTGGCCGGGGGGCGCGCAGCCCCTCGCAGGAGGTAGCCGGCTGCGGGCAGAAGGCAGCTCCCGCCGCCCCCGCGGGAGTACGGTACCTGCCGCGGCGTGGCTCCCGGAGAGGCC